ATCCATGAGGCTTCATACCCTGCAACTCTTAGGACAGAAGTTAAATAGTTTAAACGGTTTTTTACTGGTTAGCTTATTTTAAAAAGTTAGCTTTCTACAAGATAGAGTTGCTAATGCCATACTCAACTCTCCTCCTCATTCGTCTTGGAACCGACAGTAACCCTAGAAGCGCTCCAAAGAGAGTTAGTTACGGAGTAATACTGAGGTTCTATTTCTGATGGCAATCTAAAAATTGAAGTTGAGAATATATATATCTCTACTTGTAGGCGATTTTATTCTGACTTATTCTTTTGCTTTATCCATTATTCAAAATAAATCTAACAAAAAAAATAAAAGTTACTAATCTATTCTATGATTTTTCTCTGCCCCAAAATCACTACTGAAATATAACGAGCGGAATGAATAAATAATCAACCAATCAACAATAACAGACATACAAAATTAACCAATCATATTACAGCATCACTCGCATAATCAAAAAAAGGGTAACTTTCTAAAGAAACTAATCACATTAGCTGCACATAGTTTAAAATGGAATGGAATGGATTTAAGTTTTTATCCCCTTACATTCATTTCATTTTGAGCAAATGAAGTGAATCAAAGCATACTGAAGTAAACACACCAAAACAGTAGTACACAAACAGACCAATGTGGTGGTGATGATGGTAGTGAAGGAGTGAATAATTTTCCCCGAAATTTTTTTACTTCAATTCATTTGGTTAAAAATTTTGTTTGTTTTAATTTTTTTTTCCTCTTTCTTGCGCGCCATTGAACATTTCACCTTCATATTTTCGAATAAATGAATGAATGGATGAACGAGTGGTTATATGCATGAATTGATAGACAGTTAGATAGATAGATAAATAGATACATAGATAGATAGATAGACTGTAAAGAAGTTTCTTTTCAAGAAGAAAGGTAGAAGAAGAATCATGACAAAGTTTTGTGAAACAAAAGCAGAAACTCAATAATAATAACCGCTACTACTACTACTACTACTACTACTGTTGTAGTTAAAATCATTGGATAAAGTAATCCTTCCAGTCTATTGGAAATTGAAGAACAATCATATACTTACTTTTATAGTAGTACAATATTACAGTATATAAATATATAAATATGTAACTATGTTATTTAATACAATCTAATCAAATCTTCTACATAAAAAAAAGTATTTTCATTTTTTTCTCTCTCTCTTACGTGCATACATTTGCCTGACCGAGTTTTCCAAATTGAACAGACTGAACAGAATTCACACTCTATTATTATTATTATTCAACTGTTACACTTTGAATTCAATTGTTCAATCCAATGAATCCGTTCAAAAGAATAAAGTACTTAGCCATGAAAGAAAAATGAAAAATTAAATTTTTTTTTCTTATTTCTTATTTCTATTGAAAAAATGAATTTGTTAGCAACATGTGATGATAGATAACAAGTGAATCATGATGAATTTTGTATATTGAATACAACTGAAC